TATATATATATATATCACATTCTCGATCAAAGCGAATACATGTCGATCAAATAGTCATCATGTTAATAATTTTAGTAGTAAATCCGCATACCTCATTATTAAGTGAAAATAGGTCTAAAATCTTAATGACCATAATGATTGCTTGAGGCCAAGACAATTGGATTTTGTATAAGAAGATAGCAGGTTGTTTCTTTAGCATCTGTCATGGCAAAAGCTGGTAATTACTAGTATTTTGTATTATGTTTTAATTGAAATTATTCAAAGGGGTAATTTACTTTAGATACCTACTTTATTTGTTTTCAAAGGGGTAATTTACTATTTTGTATTATGTTTTAATTGAAATTATTCACTTGTATAGGAACTCTTGTAAAAATTAGATTGAGTTTAAAGGATAAGATAATCGTTCAGTTTTTGATGGGTATTTTGGTAACTCAATTCTCAACGTTGGATTTCACACTTATAATATAGTATGATATGATATAAATATAGATAGATACTTCTTGCTATGTAGGTTAATTGTCTTCTAACTGTTTTACACTGAAATATTCAAAGAAAATTTATAATATTCCAACCAGTAAATTCCCACTATATATTGCTCCACTAAGTAAAGACCTAAAAGGACACAAGCTTCTCTCTTACTCATATGAAAATGATAGCAAACATTTAGAATTGACCAGAAATCCAAATATGAAGGTTACTTGAATCATCTCTCATCTTGCTTCTACCAACTACAGACTATACAGTACACCATTTAAGCAAATGCAAAACTGCCTCTTCTCTTTCACCATCAAGAAATAATAGAAAGAGAATCTGCGCATAAAATGACAGCCATGCCATGCCTTTTAGTTTTTACGAAATCATCATCAGTCAACTCCTAATCAGAATCGTTAAGAATTCTTAAAATAATAGGAGTACTAGATAAGAGACGAAAAAACAACCCAAAAACTCCTAATCAGTACTAAATCATTACAGAGCAGCTTTAAAAAAATAATAACTAAGAATTCTTAAAATAATACTACTAGTAAAATCTCACTCCATAAAAAACAGAAGTAGCAGCAGCTAGCTTCATACCCCTACTAAGCGAAGGCGCAAATGATAGCAGCAACTGATCCAAAGGCCATATAGGTGTTAAAGTTCAATGAACCAGCACTGGTGCAGGCTCCGCCTCTGGATACAGAATTGAACAAGGAGGGGTAGCAAGAGCTTCAGCTTCTGGAACTGGAGGAGAATGATCCATATTTGTACCCATTTTATCCTATTTTTATAGAATGATCCATATTTGACCCAGTTTAAAATTTAAATAAATCAATTATCCAACCCGTTTTTAATTGGGAGGGTTGGACGGATACTTGCTTATTTTCCCAGCACTATTCCAGACACACTACATCTCCGTCATCTAGGAGGCATTCATCAGAATCGGAAGTACTCATAATAGTAGATTGCAGTTCTTGGCAAAAGCATTCCAACCGTTCAACAGTAAACCAGTCTTCTGTCATCTATAAAGCAACACCAAATTGCAAAAAGCATCCAGCCACAACAAGGATTACATAATTTCTAGAAATGTAACAAGTATGAAACTTTCACAGTGAGGAACTTACGAAGTAAGGGTAACCCTTCGAAATGCTAAAATTTTCTGGAGCACTCTCTAAGAAGAGGTTTATGTAGTACAAAACAAAATTGCCACAGTCTTCATCATTTCTCTGCTGCGGAACCTGAAACCTTTTATATGAGCATTGGCATTGCAAAAGCACCGAGATTAAACAACGACACAAAATATTGTCACCTTTGGAATCATTAGAGGGATTTTCCTGATCTGGTCCTTGGTTTCTGGCCTCTGCTCTGCTTTGAATAAGTCTATAACAAATCTGCAACGAAAACACTGCTATATTAATGGATTATCATTTCAAAGTAAGCCCAGACTGGAACGGTAGGCTGAGAGAAAGAAATACTTTCTGATCCCAGGTTCAAGTCTCTCAGGGTTTGCCATCTGCAAAGAATCAAGTAACAACATGCAAGGACTTCTTGCTTTAGATTGTAAACTTTCATCAAGGTGACAAAAGATCAGGAGACTCCAGTGGCCCCTGGCAATGTGGGAACTCAGTCTATAGAGACATATCTAAAATGTAGAATTCTACATAATCATACAGCAAGTACATGAAATACTTACCACAGAACAATGGGAACAAAAACATACTTTTTCGAGAATATGTTCTTTTTCGTAATCCAATTCAACACCTTAGATTTGTAAAAACGTTCTGAGTACAAGGAGAACCACAAGCTGTCAAGGTAAGTAAATGAGTCCTTCCTATCTTCTGGATGCCATTTCCATATGCTCCTACAAACAAACCCCAAAAGTTAGGCTCACAACAGAAATTGATAAGTTTTGGGGTTCTTACACTCTGTTTGGTTCCATAAAGCTGAGGAGAGGGTAAAGGAGAGAAAGTTCTTTGGTAATAGTATTCACCATTTACTTCTGGTTGTTTGAAACAGATGGAAAGGAACTAATATACTTCCTCCTTAACGTCCAATCTTGGAGGGGATAAAAAAAGCTGACTTGGAGGGGCGCCGACCTCTCTATATTTACTTCTTTTCATCTTTTACTTCCTTACCAAACATGAGAAATAACCTTTTTAACCTCAATTTTTACTTTTACCCTTCATCAACCTTTCTCACCCCAATCAAACATAGTGTTAAATTAGGATATTTAAGAGAAAAAAAGTCATAAAAACTTACTCCAAGTACCGCTCAAACTTCCATGAGCCTAACCCCTTTTGACTGTTGTTCCTCCTTGATTGACCATGAAAACGAGAAGTATGCTGTGGGATAACCTCAGAATGCCTTGTATCAGCTGTTATCTTACTTTTCCGTCCTTTTCGTGAACGTGCTCGTGGTTTGAACTGCGAACAACAAGAAGCTTGCTCTGGGATAACCTCAGAATGACTTGTATCAGCTGTCACCTTACTTTTTCGTGTTAGTGCACGTGATCGTGGTCTGATCTGTGACGTACTTGGGAGTTCCGTATTAATCCTTTCCTGATAAGTTGCTGGGGTGGCAAATTAAGATATCAGCTTTGCAACTTTGAAATAATTAGCACAACATTGATTTCCATGTTCTAGGAGGGGGGAGCAATGGTGCTCCTTCCCACTTTCTTTTTCTTTGATCAGGTAAAGTTAGACATCATAAAATAAGCATCCAAGGGATGCAACAGTACAAAAAAAAAAGTTAGCTCCTGTACATTCCTGTAACTCCTATCTAAAAATTCAATACTCCTTCCCACTCTCACAAAACTGAATATGGAAAAACTGGGCAAACATATATGTGACTTTCAAGGTTAGAATGAACTATATCATTGGTCAGTAGCTAAATCATTGCTTTGAGTGCAATTGAAGAGCAACAGCTTGCCATATCACCCCCCCCCCC